ACAGGTTTTTTTATCAAACGAGGGTAGAGCTGAATTTCCTATGATATTTTATGAAAACAATAAAATTCTTTGAAGGCTGATCGTAAGTCCGTTTCATTGTTTATGACATTACATTGTGTACATGTATTTGGATTTGGTTATTTTTCCACCGGTCACTAAAGGGAAAGGATTCGTCCGTATTTATGTCTAATTTAAAGTACATGCATAGAGACAGGGAGAGAGAGAGAGAGAGAGAGAGAGAGAGAGAGAGAGAGAGAGAGAGAGAGAAGGAGGGAGAGAGGGACAGAAAAAGGAAGAGAAACGACCAGAGGAAGACTGAGTTATCTCTTCTGTACCTCAAACCATACACAGCTGTTAAAACAGCCTGCTTTTAGAGCCTCTATTGTCTACTTAAAGTAGAAATAGCTTCTTATGCTTATGTTATGTTGACCAGATTTTAATGGGGAAGGGGGGGGGGAGAGAGAGAGAAAAGGACAAATCATCTCAATGATTTTCCAGCTCTTGTTTCGAGGCTATTCAATAGATTTGATAGATTATGACAGTTGAGAAAAAGTAAATCTGCATAAAATGATAGAGAAAGAGGTGAAGAAAGGCAGTCTTTTTCTTCTTCAAGTACCAGACCTGAAACCAGATATTGGTAATCATGGTTCGTCACGCATCTTTTCTCTTGCATTCTTTTTTTTACAAAACCACATAAAATATTGTCCAGGTATTTTCCCGCCACCCATCTGTTCAAGTATTTTAAGTCTGTATTCTTGGTCTACCTTTCCCATTATTTAGTTTGAGTCGAGTTAGTGCCGAAGATTAGAAGTGTTACAAGAGAGTAACAAACACAAAAAAGGAGGAGAGATAAAGACGACAGATGTTTGACGGGAAAGAAGGAGCAAACCACACCAGAGCACCCACCAACCACCCACACTCCCTCTCTTGTTCAGGGAGTTCAAAACAAACAAACAAACAAAATTCAACCAAACTTTTTCACAGATAGAAGATACAACATGTCCTTTATTATGAACTCTCTATGACAGAACGGTATTCTATATTGACCTACATAAGTATTCATCTCATCAGCTTTTTCTTCTTCTTTTGCTTCAACTGTCGTCCAGTTGCGACCTTTGTCTGTTGACCTTTCTGAAGTCCAGACGAGTACTCATTGAGCATGGCCTGCTTGAAGCTCAGAGGTTTTTTCCTGAAACAAAAGGCAGACAAAATTTTATATCATGGACATGGAATATTTTGTTTGTGGCACTGATGGCCTGGCAGTTGGGCTCTCGGACTTGCAACCGTAAGGTCGTGGTTTCAAACTGTCCCTGTGGTTTCATGCACTCCGCATAATTTAGCAAAAATTTGATCATTTTTTGCATTATTTCTGATTATTTTCCTTTACCATTCTTTGTTACAATTATTGAATCGCATAATTTCACATTTTTGGGCTCAGTTCGCATAATTTCAGAATTTTTCTTGCTAAAACGACGGGGACAGGTTTCAAATCCCATCAGGGTTCCGACGTTGTATCCTTGGAAAAGGCACTTTACTGACACTAATTTTCCTCACTTCACTCAGGTGGGAATGGGCACCCGGCTATAGACAGCGAAAGACAGTATCAGTTTATTGTGTGATTGAGCGCATGCAATCTGCAGCTCGCACTGTACTGTACGTTTCCTGGGAAGCCGAGAATGTTTCTAAGTGATCTTGGGTCTGCTGGAGTAATAATGGTTGTAAAGCCCATAGAACATGCTGAAGAGCTTGTATATGCGCTATATAAATGCAACTATCATTATTATCATTGTTCGTTTGTGTTTCTCTCAATTTTTGTTTATTTGAGTAAAGAGAAGCACCTCAAAACAATAATCATTTAATGCAGGGAAAGAGTAAGACAGACAGACGGACAGACAGACGGACAGACGGACAGACGGACAGACGGACAGACAGACAGACAGACAGACAGACAGACAGACAGACAGACAATAACAACAAAAGCAAAGAAAAGAAGAAGGACCTACCAGCCGCGCCTTCCGACCAATTGTTAAAGGAAGTGTAACTGGAAGGGAACACAGCCTAAGGGCGGACATAGGGAACACATATGTGCGACATTATGGTGAAATGAGGGGTTCATCAAAATGATGAAAAGAACGAAACTGTCATTGGACAACCGGGTTATTAGGCAGAGACCACAGTACTTTACTTTTGGATCTTGTCAGCAACTATATAGTCTCTGGTACTTTTCAACTTGCCAGATCAGAAACAGAGATCTGCGATTATGGTTTGCAACTCATTTCTCCGCTCGGTTGCTATGGAAAAAAAATTACAGTCGAGCACAGATAACACGAACATGTAAAACTCAAAATCACGGATAGCTCGTACATTTTGCCATTCCACGACTGTTATCGCTTTAATATTTCGCAATTAGTTAACCCAAGTTATGGATGTGTCGAATAGGTTTGTCAATCCCCCGACATGTTTGAATTATCCATGCCCGACTGTACATTATTATGATCCTGGTCTCTTCCTTTCACCCATCTGTTTCAGTTAAGTAAGTAGGTTATTCTTGGTCTTCCTCGCCTCTTTTGCCTTCTGTTTTTCTAGTTAGAGGACTCAAAGTCATTAAAAATCTAGAAAAGCAGGAAAAGATTCCAACAAATTTTGAAAAAAAAGGGCATGAAAACAATCTCAAACAATGACTGAACACAGAAAACTTCTGTTTATCGTATATCAACACGCTCTACTTACTTGGGCTTCTCTTGACGATTCCAAGTCTTGCGGGTGACCTTGGCTGCCACTCCGCTGACCTTTCCCGGGGCCTCCCGCAGAGCAAAGCTTTTGGCCACGTGGCCAAAGTGAAGTTCAGACACTCTGAAGTACTCTTTTACCTCCTTGGAGTAAGTCGCGTAACCTCTGATGTACGACTGAAATCCTGTCACGGAAAAAGGCTCATTTGTTTTGTTTGATTATTTGAGAAAGTTTTAGTTTTAGCAGAGGTTTTACAGCGCTCGCATCTGCATAAGGTCATACGAGTGCCAGAAGATTAGAAGTGTTACAAGAGAGTAACAAACATAAAAAAGAAGGGGAGATAAGGACGATAGATGTTTCATAGGAAAGAAAAAGCAAACCACACAAGAGCACCCACCAACCACCCACTAAAAAATAAGAAGGGGAGATAAGGACAATAAATGTTTCATAGGAAAGAAGAAGCAAACCACACCAGAGCAACCGCCAACCACCCACTGTTTGAGAAAGGTGAACCACATCGACACAATAATTTGAATATGGTCATTTAGAGCTGGGGAAAAGTAAGACAGACATAGACAGACAGAAACAACAGAAGGAAAGTAAAGAAGCAGGACTGGTGCCCTCAAACCACCTGCTTTTAAGAAAGGGAGATTGTTATTGTAATTGAAAGTGTTTGACGCCCCTATTTCCAGAATTTACTTTATTTAAGAGATTGATACGTAAGTTTTATACAGGGTGTCCACTACGGCTGGATCGGGCCCATTGCCCAACTCCATCGCCTGAAACTGACAACAAACTCGTTTGTTTTTGAGGCGATCGAGTCAGACGATCGGCCGATCCCAGCTGTAGTGGGCACCCTGTATAAAACTAAAGTATCAATCTCTTAAATAAAGTAAATTCTGTAAATGGGGGCGTCAAACACTTTCAATTACAATAACAATGCTCCCTTTCTCAAACATCAAAAAAGACATCACATTTTAAAAATTAATTGACATGCGTGTACGTAAAACAAAGTATATGCAAGTAATATCTATGTATATGTGTAACCATTTCTATGAGAAAAACTGTCTCGCAGTGAGGTTGGAAATGCGTTCACTAAAAATATACAATGTAACAAAAATTCACGAACGGCCACAATAAAATTGAAACGTGAGTAACGAGAAACATTCATTAAAACATTCGT